AGGAAATAAGTGCAATCAGTTTCCATGGCTGAGCCTTCTTTGTCAAGAGTGCTCTGCAATTTGCTCATCCCCCTGTCCTTGACACCAGAGGCATTTCTTAATACGTACCAAGTCCTTCCATTGTACCTAGAAGCACCAATTGATATTTACTTGTACTGTCCTTTATTGCTTGTGGCAGCTTAGGACATGCACAGTTGGAGTTTAAACCTCTTTTCTTCGAGGTTAGAATATTGGATGGACTTTTAATAAACACGAATAAGAAATAAATATAAGGTCTGTATACAGTATAGATCAATGGAAATAATTTCTCCAGGGTTTGTGCAGCCGTTCAGGGAATCTGTTTGCTGCAAGGTGGTGAATGGCAGGAACTGTTTTGAAAGTTACTGTAGTCACGATGGGGTGTACTTCCAGCCCCCAGCATCAAAGTGTGAAGTGCTAGATGGCAGCTAAAAATTTTAATGTTTGTATTTGAAAATAGAGCATGTTTTAAGGGCAGGGGCATGAGCCATCTTTTGTTTTATATTTGTATAGTATCAAAGATTGGGGTGGGAGAGGGAAGTTGAAAGGAGTGGGCATCTGGTTGTGGTCTTGTAAGACCTTCCTCCGTGTAAGTAATAAGCAATATCAATCTCTGCAGTTTTGTTCCTCCAAGTAAAATAAAATATTACTTTATTTCTATACAAAATAAAGAGGAAAAATGAATTTTCTTTAACAAGGATCTGAATATTCTCCATCTGCTTGTGGGTCAGGTATGGCTTTATATCAGATTTGATCCCGATGTATATCTTGAACAGCCAGTTATAAGGACAACTGCTAGGAAAGCATTAAAAATAGCAGGTGATATCCTGCCCAATTGAAGTGAATGGCATAGAACATTGCTCTAGATGCACTGAATGGAACAGCTAGAGGGGCCACAGTTTCATTCAGTGCATCTAAAACAATGGTTGGCAACCTCTTTGACCCGGTCACTCCAGCCTGCAGCCTAAGGGAGGTGGGCGGGCACTAAGACCCAGCTTTCCCTGCTGCTGAGTACTGCTTAAACCTCCCATCAGTGGGCTGGATCAAATGGCTCAGCGGGCCAAAGGTTGCCAACCCCTGATCTGAAGTATTGCACAGCTGCTTGCCACTGCAGAGAGCATCTGAGTCGGCATGTGCAATGAAGTAGTGCCCTGTAAATGAAGCAAATGTTGGTTTCTAATGTATCCAGGCCAGAGCCATGACTGGCAGTTCTTTTACTTCATTAAATAAACTCTAGAGTAGTCTCTGAATATTGTAAATGCTATATATCCAGAGGCTGGGATTTTATAAATGCCCATGTATGAGTACGCTTACCCACTTAATTAATCTTGCCTCAAGGAAGCAATACACTCTTCAGAGTATATTGAAATATATCTAGTGATTCTTTTGTAGCAAGAACTGAATCCATTCATAGAATGAAAAAAAACCACATTCTAGTTGCTATTTAGATGGCTTCATGTTGCAATGAAATGTATCCTAGAGAAATTAGGAAATTCCACCCAGTTATAATAGACTACTTAATTCACAAGGCTTGAGAGTATTTATGAAATAATGTCATTCCCAGTGCGTAGAAGATAAAATGGGTTGCTTTCACAGAGTTGAAAATCTAGCATTCTTGATTTGCTTAGAAATTATTTTATCTTTTTTAAGTTTCTTGTATTTTCTCTAAGTTGGTTAATAGGAGGCTTAAGCAAATTTTAGACACTGGATATAACTTTGAAATTGAAATAGCTGATTGTATTGTATTTCCAGTCTCTAACAGATATAGAGCCATCTCACAGAATACTTTGCCTGTGTATGTGTCCTTCAGAAAATCTTCAAAGGCATTTAAAAGGCAGGGACACTGATAAGGCATAGGATAAATTAGTTTTATTCTTACCAAAGGAAAATCTTGAATGCTGTGAGGGTATTATTATAGCCTCTGAGTCCTTCAAAACACCTCTGTCATCATCTGTGACAAGGGCACTCTGCAGGGTCCAAGCTGCCATGAGAGGCCTCTTTGGGACTCTGCGTTTGTGACCTGTATGTACTCTGAAATGCTTTATTTGTAATGGGGGAATTTTTAGGTGCTGGCTGAGAGAGTGATAGGGTTACAATGAAGGACAAGCAATGTGACAGACTTGAAGTAGTGACAGGCATATTCTTGATGACTGAAGCAGTAATGTAGCCCTGTGAAAGTCCATGACAGTGACTTGGGCAAACAGCTTTTGTAAGATTAGGCTTCAGCTGCACTCATTTTAGGATTCTAGCTGTTGACAGGCGTAGTATGACAGCACTGCATGCTGAGACCATGCATTCATGTGTGAGATTATAAAGAACACCTATTTAAAGACTGTATGCCACAGAATTTGGTAAAGATGTTGACTGTGTATTGTTTCTGAAGGGCTTTGGTGTTAATTTTCTTGGCAGAAAGTAGGGAGACTCTAGCATTTTGCTTCTGTAACTCTCCATTGAAAATTTTCTGTCCAGTATATATTTTACATGTCAGGTTTGGTATTTTCAACTTTACGTAAAGTTTATATGTTTGTCTGTGTTATGTATATATACTTCTCTTTATATGCAGGTATGGAAACCTGTTTAGATGCATATAGATTTGCTGTGTATAGTCCATACCCATTAAAATCAATCACACGAAGGACAAATACAAGATCCTGCACTTGGAATAGAAAAATTGCACGCATAAAGACAGACTTGGGAATTAATGATGAGGCTGCAGTACTGCAGAGAGGGATCTGCGGGTTACAGTGGCCCACAAGCTGAATCAAGCAACAGTTTGCTTTTGGCAGGGGTGGGAGGGAAGCCAACAGCATACTGGGTTGTATTAACAGAAAGGGCTCTTGCAGATCAAGGGATGTGACTCCTTTGCTCTATTTGGCACTGGTGAGGCTTCACTCAGAATACTGTGTCCAGTATTGGGCCTTTGAAGAAAGATATGGACAGATTGCAAGGAGTCTAGCAGAGACCAACAAAAATGAATGGGGGCCTTGGAGGCAAGACTTATGATTAAAGGCTGAAAGAACTAGAGTTATTTAGTCTGTAGAAGACAGCATGAGGGGGGATTTGATAACAATCTTCAAATGCCAGAAGGGTGATTACAGAGAGGATGGATATGGGCTTTTCACTATGACCATAGGGGACAGAACTAGGAGCAATGGCATCTAGCTGCAGCAGAGGAAATTTAGCTTGGAGATGAGGAGGAACTTCCTATCTAGTTAAGCGTAGGGCTAGAAAAGTTGATCCTTTTCCAGAGTTCCACCTTGCGGATAATTTGGTGTACAAATAATCTCTGTGACAGCACACAAAACAGCATTGTAGAGGTTCTGAAAACCCTTTATGTTAGCCAGCAGAGAATAAACAGATCTGGACATAATCTTGAACAGTTACACATGCTTCCTTGCCTTGGGTTAAGGTCAGACATGTCAATAGTCCAGGTGCTTTATGCTCCAGCTTCTCTTCACTGATTTTTCTGCATCTGTCCTGTGCAGCCAGCTCCCTCTGCTTTCCTTGAAACAGTGGAACAGTACTTTTTAATGATGCATATAATACTGACTATTAATCTAGAATTTAGAAAATGTGCATCCTGATTTTGCAATGGCATCTGCCACTGTCAAACATTATGTTCCATTATATTTTGGTGTATTACTGTTTGTCTGCAGAATTAAGGCCATAATGAGATTTATTCCTTTGGACATAGAAGGATGGATTGATCAAATGATGGAGGGGGTGGGGGAAATGGATGTCCCCAATCCCATCATATCCTAAAACTTTCTTTCTGATATGTGACTTGTTCAGTACTCTTTCACCTCCTGATTCTGTAAAGGTAGATCATCATGCTTTAATTTATTTAACATTTTTTATTTTAAACACTTCTTTCCCATGTGCTACAAATCAAAACACTGAATCACCCCAGATTTAGTGACATTTTAAGGTAATTTATATTTTCCCTCACTGTATTTCATAATGATAACTGCTTTAGGTTTTAGGGTTTTTTTCCTGAAGCTTTTGCTTACTGCTTTTTTGGGAGCCATATGTTTTTTCAGTATGTAAAGAGAGGTAACGATTGAACCAGTGCACTGCTAAAATAATCTCCTCTCCCACCCTGCTTTTTTTTTTTAAGGACAAAAAGAGTTACTCCTGTCCTGTGTGTGAGAAATCTTTCTCTGAAGATCGACTAATAAAATCGCACATCAAGACAAACCACCCTGGTAAGAGAAACCACAATACAATTTCTAAATCTACTGCAACAGAAGAGTGTCTAAGCAATAGTAATCTAATGTGATGGCTTTCAAGAAAATACACGTTTCTAATGTGCCTTAATTAGTATAAGAATATTGGTAGAATCTGCAGATCTTTAGTGATTGGATTCTGAACAGACTGTGCGTGTGTTATAGATCTGTACTTTTTATGGGCTATACTCTGCAAGGTATTGACCATTCTTTCCTCAATTCAGCAAAGCACTTAAAAACATATCTAAAAATTAGCACGAGACTTGTCTTATTGAAGCGAGCTGATCTACTTTTGTGGTTGTAGCAAAGGTATTTTTAAAAGGTTTGCTTAGGAGGCTGTTGAGTATTCGCAACTAGGGATGGATCCAGAGGGGGTGCAGTGGCATGACTGCACCCCCTGTTCCGTTGGATTGCATTGCACCATGGGGGCCCCCTTAGGGACTTTTTCAAGTCCCTAAAGCTGGTGAAAATCTTCCCTCCCTTTCCCTTCTTGTTCAAAGGCATGGCTCTTCTCTTCCCCTTCCTTCCACCTACCTTTTCCCACTGTCCTGGTGACAGGAAGCCCCAGATCTGTTCCTGCCCACTGCCCAGGGACTGAGCTTATCTGGAGATGATGACAAGGGGAGCAGAGATGGACAGTGGTTTCCCTTCCCTGCGCCTGCTCTAGGACTGGGCAGCAGGGGGAACTACTCTCCAGCTACCCTGTTGCTGCTGTCTTCCCCCAGCTGAGCCCAGCCTCCGTGTAGCCCAGCTGGCTCTGGACCTTCCCCGCTTCTGAGCAGTGGACAAAGGAGCTGGGACAAAGGAGCAGGCTGGGGGGCTGGTGGGGAGAGGGGAAAAAGGAGGGGAGGGGGCTGCCTCTGAGCTGGAAGGGAGGGGAGATTTAGGGACTTTAAAAAGTCTGCCCACACTGGTGGGGGTGAAGGAGTCTGGGAGTAGGGTCCCAATCCTGCAGTGCAGGTTGCTGCTCCCACTGCCCTCTTTTGGGAAATCCTGGATCTCCTGTTCTTAACCTTCCTGGATCCAGCCCTTTAAACTGAAACGAAAAATGTTTGTAGTAACACACTTCTGCAGTTCTGTGTGCTAGTATCTCCTCTGTGCTTGTATGAACCAGAGATGGCCGTGATACTAACAATGTAAATGATAGTGAAAAAAATATCCAGTATTTATTAGTTCTAAATGTGGTAGCTAGCACATTATAATTAATATTTTTAAATTAAACACAATACCAGATCTAGACAAAATTTAACACCTTTTAAAAACATAGTAATTTGGTTACTCTCCCAGTGGCCCTAGTGCCATCCTGACCAGAAGAACTCCAGTGCCAGTCCCCGGAGACTGGCCAGGAGCTCTGGGGTCATGGCCAGGGTGTTTGAAGTGGTACCAGAGCATGGATAGAACCAGCTGGTTGATGACCAGTGCCCTCCCACAAAGGGAGAGACATTGTAAGAAGCACACCCATGCCTGCAGCCACTCAGACACCCTAACCTCTAGCTGGTGCCAGTTCTCCAACGGGGAGAGCTGACTGGGGAACAGGTAGACCCCAGATAGAGCAGTGAGCCTGCACTCCACTGGAGTACCGGTAAGAGTGAGCCCATCTGTCACCCATCACCCACCTGTCACCCACCGTCAGACCAGAGCTCTTCATGAAGTTGACCCAAGCAAAGAAGGCCACTGAGTAGATGGATTGTCAGGCCTCCACCTGTGCCAGGTCACCCAGGTCCTGGAAGGCAAGGAGCCCTTGTGCAGGAGGCAGAGGAACAGCTCGAGGGCAGTATTGTAAAGCTGGCATGACCATGAACTGCCTTGATACACTCCCAGCCCAAACCAGATGGACTCCATCAGCATCCAGTTGAGCTTCACCAGCACTCTGTGGAGGTGTACAGCACCTGGAGAAACAGCATGAAGCGGGGACCAAACCTGAGCGCCTTCAGTGTGCCTGTGAGGTGCCCATGATCCACCCTGTCAATTGCCTTCTCCTGGTCAAAGGACAGGAGGCTGAATGACGGGCCATCCCTGTGAGCAAGCTCAAAGAGGTTGTACACCAGGTGCATGTTGTCAAAGATAAAGTGCCCTGAAACCACATTCATCTGGTCAGCATGAATAAGGTCCAGCTGCACAGACCTCAGGTGCAGCAAGATGGCTTTCACTGTGACCTTATAGTCTGTACAGAGGAGTGAGACAGGAGCGCCAGTTCTTGAGGTTGTGGGGGTTCCCCTTCCTGGGCAGCAGGGTCAGGGCGGTCCTCCTGCTTGACAGGGGGAGCTCCCCATGCCCTTTGGACTCAGCTGAGACCGCGGCAAGGTCCAGGCCAAGGACCTCCCAGAAGGTACGGCAGAACTCCAGGGTCAGCCTGATGATGCCCAGCACTTTGGTGGCCATCAGGCGGAGGGATTCTGAGAGCTTGGCCAGGATGAGAGGATCCTCTAATCTGGTCCCAGTTGCCTGCTCTGACCTGTGCCAGTCCTTCCCACAGGACCTGGCAGCTGTTGGCTTCGGTCAGATTCGGCCAGTAGAGCTCTACGTAGAAAGCCCTCCCTCTTTCTTGCAGTTTGCTGGGGTTTGTGAGGGTATGCCATCCTCCACCAGGATGCAAGTGATGTACTTCTTGGCACCCCTCTTCTTCTCTAGGACATAGAAGAAGTGGAAACCATGGTCCATCTCCCAGAGGAGTTGGACACACAAGCGGACAAATGCACCATGGGCGTGGCAGTCATCCAGAACTCAGAGCTTTTCCTGTCTCTCCGGACACACTCTGTAGTGGGACAGATTCTCTGGGTTAGCAGCCAGATGCCTTGCCAGCTCCAGCACTTCCCTCTTAAGCTGCTCTCTAGCTGCCTCCCACTGTCAGGTGTGCCTCCAGATGTAGTGGTAACAGCCCTATCTGACATGCACCTTCCCCACATCCCACCATCTTCAAGCCAAGGGAAAGGCCTGCTGCTGCCCACACCAGGCCATCCAGAACTCCCCGAAGGAAGCCATAAATCCCATGTCCTCCAGTAGGCTGTTGTTGAAGTGCCAGTAGGCCGGCCCTAGGTGCTTGGGCTGCAGCATGACCTGAGAATATACTATGGTGGTTGCTGAAGGGGGCTGGCCTAGTATCAGAGGTGTGAACTTGGGCAGTGTTTAGCATGGACATGTAGATTTGGTACAACTGGGGTGGCATGTCTGCTGCTTCTCCACCCTGACAGAGGTAAAGGTGAGGGTGGTGGTGTCGTCAGGGTGGTGGTCACACCAAATGTCCACCAGGGAGTGGTCAGTGATGACCTCCCTGAGGACCTCTGCGGTGGGCTGGCTTCATTCCCTTCCAGTGCAGCCCTACACCTTGAGGGTGACATTAAAGTCCCTGTCGAGGACCAGGCACTTGTGAGGGCTCAGGATCCCAAGGTAAGCAGCTACCTGCTAATAGAAACTGGCTATCACTGGTTCATGCACAGGGGTATAGGTATTCTCCAATTAAAGACGAGCCCCTGTACTTAGACCCAGAGATGAAGCAGGCAGCTTGGCACCACTTCAACAGCAAGAAAGACCTCTGGCTGTAGGCTCAGGAACAACAAGGTCACCACCCCACAGGATGTTTCCATGAGGTGGCTGAAGTAAACCCTGTCCCCCACTCCAGCTGCCAGTTGGCTTTGGTGTCTGGAGCCATGTGGGTCTCCTGCAGGAACAGCACAGAGTACCCCACACCTCCCGGAGGAAGGAGAGTACCTGGCAGTTGCAGATACCCATCCTGCAGCTGCGCATGTTGAGGGTAACCAGAGTGCAGGACCTCACTGGTGGGATTTATTATTGGCTGGGCTTTCATGGGAAGCAACACCAGCTGCAGTGCTCATCAGCAATCCCAGCACCCTCCCATAAGTGTAGAGGACATTGTGGAAGCTGAGGGCCTGCTGGTAGTTTTTGGCATTACTTCGCTTATGCCCCTTGTCTTCCTCCAACAGAACCCTCACAAAATTGAGGACTTGGTGGAAATCTCCACAGCAGTCAGAGTGAGCTGCACCTTCTTCCCAGGATGCAGTGTGCTCTCCAGGAATTGAAGCAGCCCTGGGTACCTCCAGGTTAAGAGATCTGCAAGCTTTATGGAGCCCACAGACTCCTGGGCTAGGGACAGAAATGACACGTAAACCGGTATAAGTGATCGGAAACCAGCTCAAATCTGTAACACAACAGAAATTCAGTGCACATAAACTGGTTTCAAAATGGCTAAAACTGGTTTAAAATAAGCCTTGATGGATGTAGTATCAGACTGAACTGATTTAGGCTAAATCAGTTTATTGAACTTCAGTCCCAGATCCCCTCCAAATTCAAGTTAACTCACAGTACCCCAGCATCCCAGGATGCTTTGCACCTTCTCCCCACTCCCTGCTCTCCTGCAGGGTGGGTAGGCTAGGCTTGGCCCAAGCTGTCTGCTCCAGCTGAGCAGGGAGGCATCCTCTAGCACCCCATAGATCCTGGGCTGGGCCACTGCTAGCACATAGCTCCATTTCCAGAATCCAAAGTGAATGTCTGTTCACTTGTTTATTGGTTCAGACTATGGAGCTTAGAGTTACCTGCAAATACTGAATCAATTCAGGCCTGGGCCTTTTGATTATTTGTGTTTAGTCCCAATCATCCTTTTCCTGGTCCTGTCATTTGGTGGGCTCCTCCTGTCTGGTGGCTGGGGTGTGTTTTATTTGTCTCCCTCTGCCTCCGTGGGGCAGAGCCCTAGCAGAGCACCACCCAAAGTACCCAGTCCTCTATGTCCCCCAACACTGAAAGAGGAGGAGCTGCAGTCCCTTGGGGCAGGCAAACAGGTAGCATGGGGAATGGCAGGGAAACTGGCAGTAGGATCTCTTCAGGGTCCCCCTCAGGGTTCAGAAGATATTCATGAGGGACCCTACTTCTCCCCCATCTGTACTGGGGCCACAGGATGTGCTGGGATCCGTGATGTGTTTGACTTCGAGTGGGGATGGAGGAGAGAGTTTGGGCACCTGGGTGGT